AAAAGAGAACGGCTGAATCGCGTTGTACTGCAGCCATTTGGCTTCAAAACGACGTTCAGTTTGACGCAGTACACGAGACCTCCTCCCTCGTTCCGGGTGGAAACGGGCTTAGCTTCCGCCCATTATTCAATGGACATCATCAGAGCTGGATCTCATTCTTGTCAATGTCTCACATTAACACTTGGGCAAGAAGAAAATAAAAAATCAAGATAGCTATAGACTGGTTTGTCTAATTGTCTTTCATACTGGTCCTGCTTCTTCTGCTCGAGTGTGTGTGTGTGTGTGTATGTGTGTGTGTGTTTGCGTCTGTATGCAATATAGTTCCTAAATCGTAGTTATCAAAAAGCTAATGTCAGGCTCTGATCATCAAGTCCTAATTGCCTAATAGAAGGCCCTGACCGAGACCGAGAATGGTTGAGATAATGAAATATGAGCTTGTAAGCTTGTAAGTCAAGTTACGAAACCACTTGTCCTAACGGGATCGACTTACGAATCTCTTCTTCATGCACTTTCATACGAAATGAAAGTCCCCCCAACAATGCTACTTTTTTTACAGACTATTTCAGTTTGATCTACTCAGAAGAATTTGGGTTTACGTGAGTCTGATTGGTATTATAAATGTGGTGGTTTTGTTTCACATTCCCCAAAACTGTTCCACCTTTAGCTGGAACTATTCAGGCCTGCTCCTCACTGATCGGATCAAGTAAACCGGGTCATGAGATTTGCGAATGGCCGTAAGTGAATCTCGTATTTCTGGGTGCATTCACGGGGAAAAGGAATCACAAATCTGGAAGCTGCAGAGCCAGATCTTGAGTTTATGCAAAGCTTTTGTCACGGCGATGGTCGAGCGCAAATATTTCTTTCAATTGCTTCCCAGTTTGCCATCTAGTTACTTTCGATTCAAAAACAAGGGAGAAATTTGACACATTTTTTGATATCCATACTTCGCATTGATAAGGTTAACAACACATGGCAACTAGGTAACTTCTTGAGATCATCTAAAGGATAACTCTTGGCAAATTTTAGATACAGATTAGGCCTACTAACGAACAAGGGAGCACCAGTGGTTGGTCTGAGACATAAGAAAAAAATATGAAAAATAAACTAGATTTTGAAGATATGAAGACCAAGATGGTGTGGCCTTTTGTGTGGTTGCAGTCTCCTTTCGTTGTATAGAAGTTGT